TGATACATTTATTTAAAAATTGATAAAATTAACATATTTAAATAATAAAATACAAAAATAACGTCTCTATTTATCTCTATCTACATCTTTTCTCGAATGAAAAGCAATTTGGTTGACTTAATCACAACAAATAGTGCATTTACGGTTACAAATTAAATATCTGACTAATTCAGGATTAGAGGCCATTCCGCTCTTTAAATCCTCTACAATTAGACAAGTATTTATTCTTCTTTTTTTTTTTTAAATTAATAAAACCGTTTTAGAATCGGTAAATGTCTTGTCGCGTTTGAAAATATTTTCCTAGCTTATATATTAACCAAGTCCAAGTGGGATTTGGACGGCTCCAAAACCAAAACCAACATTGAAAAAATAATTAGCATTATGCATTTCTTATTCGTGTCAAATTAGATAGCTCAGCCTTCCAGCTCCCAACTTCTAGAGGACACAAAGGTTTTATTACCTTAAGGGCTATTTGGTTATCTCCTGCCTGTAAGGCAGTTTCGGGGAAATCATCACGGTTTTTTAGCCGACTTGAATCAAGAAATAAAATTTTTTGGGCACAAAAATTAGGGTAAAATGTAGTTGATTATATACAAAAAAAAAAAAAAAAAAAAGGGGATACTTTGGAAAGTAATCGGTTATAAACAAATATAATGCATTATGATATAGGGAAAACTTTTCTACTTAAAAATCTCAAAAAGTTTCATTCCAATATGCATAATCGATTTTTTTTATTTATTTAGTTGATTGTTTTACCTTTAAAGCATTATAATCCATTACAAAAGAATATAATCAATTATATTGTCTTTAATTTTTATGCCCAATTTTTTTTTTTCTGAGCTAAAGCTGAGCCATTTTTGTGTATGGCTTCTCCAGAAACACCTTTCGGGCAAGAGATAACCAAATAGGGCCTAAGGATGTGTTTGGTTAAAGGTAATATTATATGAAAAGTTATTAAGATTTGTAATGAAATTTTGTTGAGATGTTAATTTATTTGTGTTTGTTAAAAAATTGATATTAAAAAAATAGACAAGTAGAGAAAGTTGTCAAAGGGATTTAATTTGTAGAGAGAGTCGTAGATATTTTTTTTGAAAATTTTTTAAAAATTTTACAAATTAAAAATTATATCAAGTAAAAAAAAATTAAAAATTAAAAATTTCACTTTAATCCTTTATTTATTATGTGTTTTTTTTTAATAAATTCATAAGGGATTAGATTTAAATCATTGTCTTAAAAAAAAATATATATATACTTATACATAATCTAACGTCATTGTATCTGAAAGCCCAAATACCTCTATTTATTATGCTTTTGAGATATATAAATACTAAAATATGCATAAAATCTTAAAAAGTGATGTTTCTCGGGAAGGTTTACCAAACACACCTTGAGGGAGTATTTGGTTGAGGTTGTCTCCCAGAAAAGGAATTTGAGGAAGTCAAGCAAAAATCAAGTTGGTTTGGCACAAGAAATTAAAGTTTTTGGCACAGAAATCGAAGTATAATTAACTATAATGAAAATGGAGGTGATTATGTTGGAACTTTCTTAGCGAACTTTTCTTTTGAGATTTTTTAACAGGAAAGTGAGGTAATCAATTATATTTTTGTAATTAATTATATATTTTTGTAATTAATTATATATATATTTTTTATAATTAATTACCAATATAATCACTCACATTTTCTTTATAATCAATTGAATTTTTATGCCAAGAACTTTAATTTCCTGGTCTAAGCCAA